GTCATTAGTGTAAGATCAGGCTCACATGTGTCTGTGAAGAGTGACAAGTCAAAGGATGAAGCACCAAACTTCAGTGAAGAACCATCACGAACCAAACAGTATTTGATGTGTTTCTTATTTCTCTTTAAACATAGACTGTGTCAGAATGTGTATCAGCGAATAATTATCATAAAACTTATAGTCCATAAATTTATCACAGTATTGTTTTTCTCTTTGCTAAAAATGTTTACAAGATATTTTGGTCATATTTGTCCTAAAAATGGAGTATTTTGATTTTTTTTATTCAGATTTTGGTCATATCTTTTTTTCTAAAAATGCAGTATTTTGATTTATTTTATTTACTGTCAGGCTTCAGTATGAAACATTAGATCCAGATTTACAGACTCACAGGAACCACAATAATTTTACAGACAGTCTCCTGCAGATCTTCCAGGTAATAAAACACATTTTCAGGAATATTTAATAATTATAATAAACAAATATGTTAATAAATAAAAGTGTGACAGAACTTTTATTTCAAATTTTTTCTTAAGAACCCATAAAATAAGAATGAAAACCTATTTTTATTAATATTTACTGCTAATTAACGTCTGTCTCAACTTCATTTTTGATGAATATTTTTAATCACTGAATAAATAATTTTGACCAAATATAGATGAAGTTTTTTTCTGTCATTAATTTTTGTCTTGCTTTGTAGGATCTTGAGAGCAAAATTATCACATTTCTAAAGAAAGAACTGGAAAAGTTTAAGAAAATATTACAAAAAGAGAACATGCAATACTTTGTGAAGGAGTTTAATGAGAACAGATGCAGTAACAAAGAAGCAGCTCTTGATCTCACGCTCTGCTTCCTGAGAGAGATGCAGCAAGATGAAGCTGCTGATACTCTAGAAGGTAAGAGACTCGTGATCATCTGTCAGACTGTCACTTATAAATGTAGGAGAGAAAATAAGATTAAACACATCTGTATTTTTGTCCCTGTATTTAGATGAGCTGATCTTCATTCATCAGCTAAAGTGTAGCCTAAAGAAGAAGTATGAATGTGTGTTTGAAGGAATTGCAAAGCAAGGTGACTCTACACTTCTGAATAACATCTACACAGATCTCTATATCACTCAGGGTTGTAGTGAACAGGTCAATACTGAACATGAGGTGAGACAGATTGAAGTTGCTTCCAGACGTCATGAATCACAGGAGATACAGGTTGAGTGCACAAATGTGTTTGAAGCACCTGAACAAGACGAGCAGATCAGAACTGTACTGACAAAAGGAGTTGCTGGCATCGGAAAATCAGTCTCTGTGCAGAAGTTTGTTCTGGATTGGGCCGAAGGAAAAGAAAATCAAGATATCAGCTTAATATTTCCTCTTCCATTTAGAGAGATGAACTTAAAGGAGCAAGAAAAACTACGTTTCATGGACCTTATAACTCAGTTTTTCCCAGAGACAAAAGGACTGAAGCTTACAAGAAGAAATCAATTCAAAGTCCTGTTCATTCTTGATGGATTGGATGAATGTCGTCTTCCTGTAAACTTTAAGGATAATGAGACGTGGTCTGATGTTTCATCACCAGCCTCTCTGGATGTTCTCCTAACGAACCTCATCAAGGGAAATCTGCTTCCTTCTGCTCTCATCTGGATCACCAGCAGACCAGCAGCTGCCAGTAAGATTCCTCCTGACTGTATCGACCGGCTGACAGAGATACGAGGATTCAATGATGCACAAAAGGAGGAGTACTTCAGAAAAAGAATCACGGATGAGAATCTGGCTAAAGAAATCATTGCTCATGTTAAACAATCAAAGAGTCTCTTTATC